AATAATTTTTTTGTTGTTGATTGTAGCATCTTTGCCAAATCCTAACTCATTCTAAGCAGGAGGCTGCCTGACACCATCTCTGTTGTTCCAGACTGCCTCTTCTCATCTCCTACATGGATCTTTTTTATGATCAGAATGTTCTTCAGCTTTTTGTCCCCCATACTGGCTATTCTGATGCCTTTCATCTTACCCGCATTGGAATTGTTTTTCCATTAGTTTCTTGACTTCCTTTACTCATCCAGTTCTTCTGCCATGGATTCTCAACTATTGCTGGCCTGAGTTGGCTGAAATTTGCCAAGAACTCCTGCATATGTGGTTTCTTTCCCTCACTATTCCTTCTTCCACCTCTAAGTGATGTCCGTGTCGATCCTCTTGTCCCTTCCTCCATCTTCTTCAAGGAAAGTGAGGGGATTTTTGGAGAGAGTGCATTGGCAGAATTTATCTCCCAGCAATTTCCAGGGTAATTTAAGACCCTCTTCATGATTACTTCATGCTTCCTGGAAAGACCTGCAATTTGTAAATTTGTGGTCAAGCGCTGTATTGTTTTTGTTCCTTCCTTCTGTAAGAGCTGAAGCTGGAAAGGTGAAAATCAAGGATCCTGGGATCAGAATGAACCATTTAGTAAACAAAGGCCAGGTGGAGGGCCGGCTTAAGAAAAGGCCTGCAAAAGAAAAAGGAAAGAAGAAAGGAGCTCACAATCTGAATCTTGAATGAATATACAGTAAATACCACTATCAGGTTCCTGCTTGTTAAAACATTTCTTCAGATTTTGTGGTTGCTTGATTCTGTAATAAAGTATCTTATAGGAAACCTGTGAAAGTGTTGAGTTCCAGAAAGAGGTTTACTGCAAGCGGCAATTACTGACACCTTCGCATTTTAATTCCATATACTCAGCAGTGCCATACAGGCAATTCCCTTGGAATCCTGAGTAGCTGCAGATTTTTAAAATTTATTTATAGTGCCCTAGGAGAATCTTATGCAGCTGTCATACCAGTCAACTCCAAACTAAATCTATCTAGGAGTCAAGCCCCAGCTGCAGGCATTGAAGTAATATATCCAATATGCCTGCCTCTTTCCACTCCAGCGAAGATACAAAATAAAAGTTTAGCAAGCTTTATTTCAACAAAAATTATAGTCAGACTATCAAAATACACATTACATGGAGAGAAAAGCAAACATTTCTAAATGCACAAAGCAGAAGCAGAAATTGCATGCAGGGTTCGATGGCAGAAGCAAATCACTTTCATTAGATCAAACCAAACTCTGCCCAACAACTATACTCAAATTATTCTACAGTGTCAATAATCGTTTGCTCTCGTGATCTCCTTCTTTGGATTACGGGGCACTCTGACATCTACAGATCAGAGATTTTTTCTTCTTATGAGTCAGAACTCAGGAGTTTTCCTTACACCATTGCCGAGGTCCACTTCTGTCAGCTTAGGACCGTATTTCTCAAGCTTAGCAACTTTAAGATGTCTGGACTTCAACTCCCAGAATTCCCCAGCCAGGCTGGGGAATTCTGGGAGTTGAAGTCCAGACATCTTAAAGTTGCTAAACTTGAGAAACACTGGCTTAGGACTTTCCCCATGACTCTTGATTGAGTGATCTTGTTTTCTCTGATGGTGAACTATGAATGTTTGGATCAGAATCCTATAACAAGGTTTTCCCAAAAAAGCCGAGTTTATGAAACAGAACAGAGGCGAATACAAATTAAAGAACAGTAAGGCTGTATTTATTTCAGAAAGTTGTACCTAAATATATCATCTTCCTTGTTGTTGTTTTTTTTAACAGACTAAACCTTCAGATTCCTTATGGTACCATTTCACAAACCTCTTGACCGTTACATTCCCTTATTCCTAAGTTACTCAAGTTTTCCCTTGCATCTTTTCTTCCAAGATGAGATCGGCTACCCTCTTATAACTCTAGAGGGGATAAACTCCTTTTTCTCTCTTAATGTTGCTAACTGGAAGGAGGGATCATTGGAAACCCTCTTGGCAGGCCCCTTCTTCCAGTAAGAAATAGTTACCGAACCTCCTTTCACCCCAGCCCTAGGAAAACTGCGGGGGGGGGGGGGGGG